AGAATTAGATGCTTCCAAACCATAAACCCTCCCACTTAGTCATCCAACCTTCGGTACTCCTTAATCCCCAACAATTTTTTAAATTTGCACTTTTACCCTTTCTTATGTTTTTTTAAATAACTTATTGGCAACTTAATCAACCCTCAATGTTTCAAACATTTCAACAAGGATTTGAGTATAATTTTTACCCACTTTCCCTCTAATGTGGCCCATTACTAATTAATTAAGGGATAAAATGCAAATATGATATTTACAAATGCACCCCTATGGTAAACACTTTACTAACTATGCCAACATGATTCCATTTGTTGTTCAACTTTGTTGGTTATTCACTCATAAGCTAATTAACCTTTTAGAGGTGAATTTATATTTTTTTTAAGTTTGTTTTATTTTTTTAAATTATTTAAATAAAAAATTATGATGTTAAAATAAAAATTTATTCAACTATAAAAAAATATGTGTTTGCCTTTGAAAATTTTATAGAAGCATTTTAAGACTAAGAAAGTCAATCAGAGAAAATATTATCATTTTGATTTATATTTAATTTTTTATTAGTTTTATTAATTTCTATTGAAATACCTATTTAATTACATTTATTCACCCTCTACTCGGCAACCACCGTCGCTCTACTAATAGGAATTGCTCACTAAGGAATGAGTGTCGATAGCTAGAACAAATCAGCCAATTGACAATGTGACCAAACCTAGCAGACCTAATCAGTAATGTCAACTCAAATCCAATGGATCTTAGTAACTGATCACACCGACTAAGTGTAATTGATCGAGCTAGCCAAAATGTCATGCTGAAGTCATACTAGCTTAGCCAACCAAGCTAGAAAACAGTTGAGCAATATGCTCTTATTTAAAAATTACCAATAATTCCATGTACAACCCCCATTAATGAAGAGGCAAAAAAGTAACATCCCCATATTGTACTCTCTTCCCCTATAAATAGAAAAATCATTTTATAACAATGAACATAATTGACATGATATATTACTGTTCAGAATTGTTCACTCTACTTTCTATCTGTCTCATTCTCTCTCTCTCTCTCTCGCGCTCTCTCCTGATTTATGATTTATTCCTTAGAGTTTGATTCACGAACAAATCAAGATTCAAGATTCCAATAATGAGAATTTAGAAAATTTTTATGATTAAGGGCTAAACTAAACATTTCATTTTTAGTGGCTATGAATGAATTAAGTTTAGTTTAATATTATCATTCATTTATTTCTTATCTAATGCAAGCCAAATTTGAGCATGATCCAAATTTCATATTCTTCAAACTTGTTTAAAAGCTTTCTTATCACATTTTATTTCTAATCGTGCTTTAGTCTGGTTTGTTTTAATTTTAATGTTAATGATTTAAGCATACATATCCTGATTATAATACATAAATAGATTTATATTTTTTGATAAAAGTTGGTACAATTCATTATATAACATGTACAACTGAAAGCTCCTGGATTGGGTTCTAAGTGTGACTTAAGTTTGATCAAGTAACTTGATAATAGAGTTTAACATGATGGCTCATCTATGACGATCAATTCACAAAAACATGGCTGAGGCCTCTAGGCTCTCTCATAAAGATCAACCCATCCTACGACCGACTTTGTTGAACTCTGATACACCTAAAATATATAGTGTTTTTAAATTCATTTTTATACATATTTTTTAGATATTGCACCTTAATGGAAGGTATTTTTATATTTTTCTTTCAGGTAAAAGTAAAAATGTTTAAATGAGTGAAAAATGATCAAATTTGGAGTAAAAAAGTGAAAATTGTGTTAAAGCGTTTTGGCGCCTAAGTGCTAGATCCGGCGCATAAGCACCGGTGAAACAGAGAATGCCTCGCCTAAGCGCCAGAGGCCCCGCGCTTAAGCGTCAAAAGCAGTTATGTGAAAGTTTTCTTCATTTGGCCAAATTTTGAAGAGGTATTTGAGGAACCTATTGGCTTAAGTGAGTGGTTATGACCACTAAGAACAAAAATATTACTAAAAGACTTGTGAAAGGAGGCATCCTTTAGAGGATTCATCGAATGTGGATACATTTTGAAGAGTTTCCAAGACATCTTTTGGAGATTTATAAAAGAAGGAAGTTGAGACATTTGAAGCGGGTGCTTGAAAGTTCTGAAAAAAGTTAGAAGAAGAGGAGTTTTAAGGAGTTTGGAGAGATAGTTTTGGACAGATTTTCAAGCACCATAAAAATTTACTTTATCCTTTTTGTTTTTAGTTTATTTTGAGAGTGTTGTAAAAGAGAAGAGATTTAAAGGAACTTCAAGAGTTTGGTGAAGGATTTGAGATAAGTTTTTATATTTTATTTTAAACTACTTTTAGTTTAATCGAGACATCTTGTTGGTTTGACAATGATTTCTACTTTTAGACTAAAGAGTGTTTTAAGTGTGTTTTTATTTTCTCCGTGGATTCTGTGTAGTTTTCTTTATTTTTTTCCTTAAAATGATAAGTAATTAAAGTGTTTGATGGAACTTGTGGAGAGTATTGATCTTTAATATTAGAAGAAGTTGTGATTATTTAAATTCATGAACTTCATTTAATTCTTGATTTGGCTTATCCAGATGTTAAAATTTGTTGTGAGAATATGTAAAAACCGGGCTGGTATTGTCTCAGTAAATAATTGGAAAGAAACACATGAGGTTGTATGAATGAGAATGTAATTCAAATGATTTAGTGAAAATAAATAGAGAAAGAATCATTGAAAAATGTAGAGTTAGAGGACTTTAAAGTGACAGGTTAAAACCGCCCCACTTGGTTTATTGTTTTAGGATACGAGATGTTAGCCCTCAGGTGGAGGGAATCGAGGAAACTCTAGAGTGAGAGCTGGTATCTTCCCTACCTAGTCAGTCTTCAGAACTAATCAAACTTTAAATTAGTCAATGTTCTTTATAACATCTCTAGTAAGGGTAAAGAATATAATTGCTCCTATTTGACACAACACAATTCACATACTTTCACAATAGAATTCCTATATTTATTTCTGATTCATGATAAGAAGAAATATATTTTTCAAATTCAGTGTTTTTCTTTTACATAAACTCAAGTTATCTTTTTAAATTGTTATTGTTCTGTCAAAATATCAAAAATACTAATAAGATTTGAATTTTAATACTGCGAAAATATTTTTAGTTTAAGTAATTGTCTTTTTTAAAATAGAAAGTTTATTGTTCAATAGTGCATATTGCGTATTTCCCTATGAGTTTGATATTCGGGTCTTAATAAAAAATTTCTATATTACTTGATAACGATACGTATACTTGCGCAGTATCCCAATATAAATATAAATTAAAGAGTTAAATTCTTATTTTTGTCAGGATCAAGTTTTTGGTTCTGTTGCAAAGTAAGGAAATATAATTGAAAAATATCATCAAAGACATTGTTATACTGTTGCATATAAGCAATTTTGGGATCAAACTCCCCATAAGATCATCTCGTCTAGGATGATCAACTTACCTCACGATCGAGTTGGCCGACAAAAATTTTATCGGGAGTGAAGTATGAGAAAAAGCATTTTTATGATATAAATATCATTAATAGAAGACGGTACGAGAATAATATTAATTTTAACATACAAAAGAAAATAGGACAATAAAATTTAGTTCCAAAATCTTTTGGATTCATATATAGCTAGTATTTTGTTTCATATTGTATAAGTCATCCCTTCTATAAATAAGGATGACCAATATAATACAAATGATAGATCTCTGGATCATGAAAGACTTGTTCCTCTCTAATTCTTTCCCT